ACTCATTGAGTTAAGATCACAATTAATATTAATTTATAATAATAAAACTAATTCAGTAGCGTATAACTTTCAGAGGATATATAATGGAAAATATATATATCTGTAACTGTAACACAGCACTTGGTGATTTAGTAGCATTACAACAGTTGACTCTAACAATTTAATGCATCATCTTAACAAACCGAAAATTGAGCAGAGCAACAAACAAACAAATGCTGGGAATGTTGAACCATATACAATATCACGGGCAGCTGGGTGGCATGGGCAGCTAGGGGCATGGGCAGCTTGGTGGCATGGGCAGCTTGGTGGCATAGTCAGTACCAGTCAAATATGCTGAGTCTGAGGTTCAAATTCCAGCTAGACCCATTTGTCCTAAACAGTCTTCATCCACAGGAGTAAGACCTTTGTATGTTACCAAAAGCAAAACTAGCATGACTGAGTTGAAACAAATGGGCAATGAAACAATGCACAATGTTGAAATAGAGATGAGAATGAAATACCTGGAAAAAAAAAGCAATACATAAAAAAAAAATCATTTGTCAACATCAATGCCTGAAAAAAGGACACCACATAACAACAAAGGTGTCAGTAAAAGAAGACCTCTTCAGCGTAAAACCAATATAAAAATTAAAATAAACACCTAGCAGCAATGTAGCATCTGAGAGGACAGCCAGAGAAATGTCATGAGGAATGAGAAGGTTATATACCAGTGTTTCCCAACCTTTTTGGTGCCATGCCCCACCTAAGCCTTTCTAAATTTCTAAGGCCCCTCTGTTATATATATATACATATTTTTTATATTCCCACATTGAATTGAATCTCACAAAATAAAAACTAAATGACAGGATTTAGGTCGAAAGGAGGAAAATGGATTAGAAATGAATAGGATTTATGGAAAAAAAAATCTAAGGAAACACAGTAAGTAATTGTTTAAAAAAATATAATTAAGAACTGTATTTCTAAAGCAAAATGAAAGATTGTCTCAAATATTTTTAATTATTTATCATTTCATTTATTATTCATTATTTTATCATTTTAAAGCAAGCAATTTTTGTTGCCCATCATAAAAGGAGCACCATCTGCAGCACGAGAATTAAAAAAAAAAATTGGTTTACTATTTAGTGACAATGCTATTGACATCTAAGTAATTTTTTAGCTCATTAATATATCTTTGTCCGTAGTGGTGCTTTCTAATGATTTACAGAACAATATTTCTTCAGCAAAATCTCCTTGATCAATATATCTTAAGTTATCCGTACGACCTCACTGTCTTTCAAAGTTGATTCCTCCATTTGCACTGAGTGACACTTTTTTTGTTTTCGGCTTTTCAACAAGTTGTATTTCAAAATCTTCACTCATTTCATCTCCTTTTTTTTTTTTTTAAACAGCATTGTTACTGAGTGGCACAGCTTTGACATCTTTTTCATCTTCTTTCAGAACATTTTTAACAAATGCTGATATTAATGGTTGAATTAAATTCCCTCTTTTTTTTTTTTTTGGCTTTTTAATTAGTTGTTTTTCAAAATCTTCTCTCATTTCATCTCCTTTTTTTTTTTTTTAAACAGCATTGTTACTGAGTGGCACAGCTTTGACATCTTTATCATCTTCTTTCAGAACATTTTTAACAAATGCTGATATTAATGGTTGAATTAAATTCCCTCCTATGGTATGATTTTCTCCAGATTTAGCTATGAGTAAAGAAATTTCACTGTTGTATCATTGGAGATATGGTCCATATAGCAGATGCTAAAAATGCTTCTGAAGCATCTCATCTCCATCGCCTTTATTTTCCTTTCAAGATCGGCTGTTAATGTCCAGGATTCGCAGGCACACAGGAAAATGGAGAGGACTAATGAGCGCATCAGCCTGATTTTGGTGCTGGGGGCTATATTTTTGTTATTCCATATTTTCTTGAGCTTTTTTAATGCTGTTGTAGTCTGCGCAATCCTGGACATCAGTTCGGGCTTGGAGCCTTCTTCTGAGACTATTGCTCCTAGGTATTTGAAGCGGCAAACAGTCTCTAATCTTTCCTCCCCGACCTTAATTTCAGTGGTGATGCCTACGGTATTATTTGTCATCAGTTTTGTCTTTTCGGCACTGATTAGCATGCCGTAGGACGACGAAGTCTTATCGAGACGCTTTACCAGGTTGGCTAGCTCTTCTTCGTTCCCAGCCAGCACGTCTATGTCGTCCGCAAAGCGTAGGTTGGTGATTGTTCTGCCACCAATGCTGACAGTCCCTTCATGAGCTTCCAGAGCATCTGACATAATTCTCTCTAGGAAGATGTTGAATAGGGTGGGGGAGACTTGGCAGCCTTGTCGTACTCCAACCGTGGTCTTGAACCATTCTCCGATGTTGTTGTTGAGGAAGACTGCACTGGTGGCCTTAGTGCCTCATGGTGGCCCATAAAGCAGCATGCCAAACCCTATCAAATGCTTTATTGAAGTCCACAAAGACGTGGTATAGGTTTTGTTGGTGTTGAGCATATTTCTCACATAGTATTCGGAGGTTTAGAATCTGCTCAGTAATGCCCCGTCCTTGTCTGAAGCCCGCCTGTTCTTCAGCAATGATTCTGTCGGCATATGGTTTTAGTCGGTTCAATATGATCTTCAGCATGACCTTGCTTGGATGGCTTATTAGGTTAATTGTGTGATAGTTTTGGCATAGCTGTAGGTTACCTTTTTTGGGGAGGGTGACGATGAGCGATTGGGTCCATGGTTTGGGCCATTCTCCTGTAAGCCATATTTTATTACAAATATTGAATAGGGCACTTATCATTGCTTCTCCTCCTTGTTTCATCAACTCGGCAGGGATATTATCCACTCCTGCGGCCTTTCCTGTTTGGAGTGCCTGGACTGCTTCTTCTACTTCTGCGGGGAGAATAGGGTAGTTATCATTGTCCAATGATACAGTGAAAGAAAGGGTTCGTCAGGCAATTGGGGAGTACGATGACCTACTGGTGACTGAAAAAACGCAAATTACAATGGTACGTCCACGTAACAAGGAAACAAGGGCTTGCCAAAGAAATATTGCAGGGCACCACAAGAGGAGGGAGAAGAAGAGGAAGACAAAGAAAAAGGTGGGAGGATAACATCAAAGAGTGGACAGGACTAACACTGGGCGATGCAGTGCGTAGTGCTGAAGACAGAGAGGAATGGAGGAGGATGGTTCACATGTCATCTGTGGCGCCCCAACGGTCCAAAGGACTAAGGGATATGAGGATGAGGAGGAAAGAAATTTCATAGGTATTGATTGATTGATTGGATATTTATATAGAGCTGGTCTCCATGCTACTTTAGCATGCTCACTGCGCTCTGGTTTTCTTAAATCTATTTAAACAAAAAGGTTTCTTAAATGATTTTTTATCATTTTCAATTCCCCTCAAAGATTGAGGCAAACTGTTCCATAATTTTGGCGCTATTGCTTCAAAAGAGCACACGCCATAACACTTTTTTCTGTGTTCATCCACACTGGGAATTTTCAGTAAGGACTGTGTTGAAGACATCAGGTTCTTTAAGGATGCGTGTTTATAAGTCGGTTCTTTAAGATATTCCGGTGCTGAGCCATCTATGCAGCTGTACGCCAGGGGACAGAATTTTGTAATTAATGTGCTCCCTCACAGGAACCCAATAGAGATCTCGTAGAATTGTGGGCTGATCAGATTTCTTTATGCGTGATAAAATGCATGCTGCAGTATTTTGTACCTTCTGGAGTCTCTGAATTTGATTCCGAGGTAAAACCACAAACAACTGTTACAGTAATCTAATCTAGCCTTGAGTATGATTGACAGTTGCAGTATGAGCAGTAAACAGAGACTTAAGGTTTTTCCTTTTCCAATTTTTTTCTCTAATGTTTGAAACTGTTTGGCCTACCAACTCGCCTCAAGACGGTTGGTTTTCAAATTCTAGACAGCTCATTTTCGAATTGCCGCCCCCACCCCCCCTAAACAATCAAATTGCCCCCCTGTGGGGCATGGGCCCCACGTTCGGAAACACAGTTAATGTTATATACTAAATAGTTTAAAAATACATACTTTTCTTCATATGAGCTTCACCTTCATTAAGTCATCAACATACATATTGTTATAATACATGCATCAAACCGTCACACAGCAGGGAGATAAAACCTTAACTGAAATTAACAATTTTTAAATGATCATTCTTGCATCCAAAGGTTTTCAGACAGTGTAAATAGGAAGCAAAAATATTCACAAAGATGGAGTTATTGACGATATTTTCAATAAGCAGTCATAGTAAATTTACCAACTTAGCTTATTCTTTTCTGTACATTCATCTTTATGTACTTTTTCATTTTTTCCTTCGTTTGACACAAAAATTTTGTTGTTGAACACAACCAGCAGACATAACATTATATTTCAACATATTTTTCAACATTAGAAATGTTTTTTCAACTGCCATGAAGCTGATCTGGCCTCACCCTCCTTGGCCACTCTTACACATGACCCTTTCCTCTTTCTGTTGATCTACATTTCTGTCCATTTTATTATACAGAGGTTGTCTTTCTTGACTTGGTCGTTTTTGTTGACAACATTTCATCTTCTTCATTCAAATATATTTTGATATTTACCATCATTTTTTTTTTTCTTCTCAAGGAGTGAAGAAGGCTTTTAACTGAAATGTTCATCATTGGGTTTAGTCTTCAGTCAAGCCATACATTTTATTTATTTTAAGGTGTATAATTTTAATTGTTCAACTATTTAAATATCATCTATGCAATAAACTCATACGGTTCTGTTTTGCTTGTCATCTATGCAATAAACTCATACGGTTCTGTTTTGCCTTGTTATCTATGCAATAAACTCATAGGGTTCTGTTTTGCCTTGTCATCTATGCAATAAACTCATAGGGTTCTGTTTTGCCTTGTCATCTATGCAATAAACTCATAGGGTTCTGTTTTGCCTTGTCATCTATGCAATAAACTCATAGGGTTCTGTTTTGCCTTGTCATCTATGCAATAAACTCGTAAGGTTATGTTTTGCCTTGTCATCTATGCAATAAACTCATAGGCTTCTGTTTTGTCTTGTCATCTATGCAATAAACTCATACGGTTCTGTTTTGCCTTGTCATCTATGCAATAAACTCATAGGGTTCTGTTTTGTCTTGTCATCTATGCAATAAACTCATAGGCTTCTGTTTTGTCTTGTCATCTATGCAATAAACTCATAGGGTTCTGTTTTTCCTTGTCTTATATATTCCCTTGAATCCAGGTCAGCCTGCAATATTGAAGGGAAATAAAACTATCAATTTAATAGATAGGCAAACATTTGTATTGGTGAACCAGATGGGGTGTTGTCATGAACCTATTGTGGTGTTGTCATGAACCTGTTGTGGTGTTGTCATGAACCCGTTGTGGTGTTGTCATGAACCCGTTGTGGTGTTGTCATGAACCTATTGTGGTGTTGTCACGAACCTATTGTGGTGTTGTCATGAACCTATTGTGGTGTTGTCATGAACCTATTGTGGTGTTGTCATGAACCTATTGTGGTGTTGTCATGAACCTATTGTGGTGTTGTCATGAACATAGGACAGCAGTGAAAAGAAAAGCCTTTCAATTAAGAGATGAACCTTTGACATGTAGCAAGAGACAAGGAGAGGGCAGGGTATTGGTTTCATTCTGATTTAAGTTCAAGTGGTCAAGGCTGTTAAAATATTTCAGAATGGTACTAATTGTGGGCATTTCACTTCCCTCTCCCCATGCTGCAATAAGTGGCCAGACCCATTGACTGCAGTATTTTGAGTTCCTTTTTACTTATTAAAATAAGTATTGCCTGATAGCATCGCAATAATAAATTATATCACGAATGCAAACCAGTTTTGGTATGTTTCCCACTCAACTTTGAATTATGGATCAGAACATGGTTATCTCTGGCTCAGAAAGAATTTCACTCTGATGGTGATCAAGATAATTCTATGGAAACAACAATTTTGCCAACTATACAGATATGAATATTTTTTTATTGCACTGAGGAAGGCATTTGCCGAAATGTTTAAATTTGTAGAATCATAACTAAAGCTTATTTCCCTTTTAAATGTTCTCCCAGTTGTAATAATTAATTATTGTTATCAGGTAAAAGGCAAAAAAAAGAGGTACATCTAGTCATTACAACATTATGTATAAAAAGAACTTATTTGTGTAGCAAACTTAACAGAACACAATGCAAGTGATTGGTTAAATCTTCACAACACAGGTTTTTGGCAAACTTAAAATCCTTATTTTTACTGTATTTTTACAAACAAGTCACCTTACTCTTCTAACAGGCTCAGGTATCCTGTATTTGCTGCACTCCAGAGCTATCCACACTGCTGATTTCAGACTAATCATGTGACCAACAGATATGTAGATGGGATTCGGTGCCTTGTCATGAACTCTAAGACACTGAAAAACAATTTTAAAAGAACATTTAAAAAAAAGCTTAAGAACAAATGTATAAACCTAGACACAGAAACTGACAAACATAAACCTAGACACAGAAACTGACAAACATAAACCTAGACACAGAAACTGATATACATAAACCTAGACACAGAAACTGACAAACATAAACCTAGACACAGAAACTGACAAACATAAACCTAGGCACAGAAACTGACAAACATAAACCTAGACACAGAAACTGACAAACATAAACCTAGACACAGAAACTGACAAACATAAACCTAGACACAGAAACTGACAAACATAAACCTAGACACAGAAACTGATATACATAAACCTAGACACAGAAATTGACAAACATAAACCTAGACAAAGAAAGTGACACACATAAACCTAGACACAGAAACTGACAAAAATAAACCTAGACACAGAAACTGACAAAAATAAACCTAGACACAGCAACCTACAAACACAAGGCTACACCATAAAATATATCTTACTTACCATTCCCAGAACTTCTCCTGAATCAGAAATTAGGTCAAATCCATCTGTAGCCTCCTGTAACTGCTTCTTCTGCAAATGATTGTTAGATAAATTGTCCATTAATATCATCTCTAGACTCCATTTGTAAATTTCCTGGCAAATAGTCCAGATACTGGTCCGTAACATTCAACAACAAATTGATGAAATCTTAAGTACTAATAAACTATACAAGAAAGTTTATAGCAATACTCAAATTTTCATGTTCAACAGTAACTGTAAGCATTCCAGTCTTATTGAAAACATTAGTCAAAAAGAATTTATAAAAAATTATTTTATAATTGTGTTACTAATTTAGAAATGGACCTTAATGTCTTTGTGGTTTTAAACATGTTTTGAGAAAATTATTATAGTATAACATAGTTTTAAAAAACCACTTTAAATAATGCTTCCTTGCTACAGATTTCAAATGATTAAGAACTACAGGGTTCTAGGCACTATGAAGAAAAGGTTGAGCTAATCAAAAAGATTTTGATGAAGAAACTCATCAATCTGGTTTCTTGACTTTGAATTGCTCAAAATCTGGAGCCTAATAATGTCAAGCAGACTTGAATGGTAATTCAAATCGGATTACTTTTCAAGAATTGGCAGCTAATGACACAGTTCTACTGATTTGGGGGTGTACAAGAGACATTCATTCTGTTCAACACTTTCCCTATTCTGTTTTGTCCTACATGTCTGGGACAGTTAAAAAGCTCATGTTGGCCATGAAAGAGATTTACTTTATCTTTATGCTCCTGGTCATCAGTCACTCCCTGGGCTGATATTAAAGTTTTAGCCACTCCTATAGTTGGCACTCCCAGGATGACACCCAGATGAGAGGCAAGGCCAAATCCTGGTGGTCAAAGTAGCATCACGGTAAAGACATGGCATGTTTATTGCTTTAAAGTTTATGAGATGCTACCAATAAACATCATGTACAAATACATATTTTAAGCCCTTTAAGAAAAATCACACTTTTTGTTTGAATGCATTTTTACAATGGATTTTAAAAGATTTTTAAAAAGCATTTTTACTTATGTTTAAACTAAAGAATCCTCCACATTCCAGGCCACATTGATACTCCTTAGATCTCTGACCCTCATCTCATATAAGGAAGGCATTCTTCTGTTTTTTGTGTATTTATAGTGAAGAGTTCCACACCCAGAGCCACCTAACATTTACCTGGTCCCAGATTTCACTTCTCTGATCACCCTGTAAGCTTTTATTTAAATATTCACCTCTCGGATGCAGAATCCCATTGCCATCAGTCAGAATAACCTGAAAATAAAAAAAAAAAACACAAATTTTATTTCATAAATTAATATTTTACATTATTTCATAAATTAATATTTTACAAACGTCGGTATTATTAGAAAAGTCTGGTGATTTTTTTTTTTTAATTGCACAGGCTTAAGAAAATGCATCCATTTGAATGCACCAATCCCTTTAAAAATGATTTTTAAAATCAATTTTAATTAGTTGTCTGATTTCATGTTTCAACATGCATTTGCAATGTATGTAAATTTATGTCAATGTACATTAATGATTAATGTACATCAATTTATGTCAATGTAAACCAATGTATGACAGTGTACCTTAATGTATGCGACTTTATGTCATTTTTCTTTGAAAGAAAGATGGGGAGGAAGCAATACACAGCCCCCAACCTTAAAAAAACGCTAAAATGTTCTTTTGGGAAAGACAGTGGTATTGGGCTGGCGTTCCTACACATGCCACTAAACAGCGTTCTCCCTTTAAGTTTAAGACAGAGCAGGCTTGGAAGCAACAAATTTAACATGGCATACAATGGCCGACAAACCTGAAAGATGTTTTCTTCATGGATTCAATAAGAAGAAGGAAAAATTTTAAAACAATTATATAGTTTAGTTAAAGCACAGAGATACAATTTTTAATATCTTCCAACATTGGTGTTGCTAATCTTGGCACCACCCAAACTGCGGTTTGACTCACATCAGGCAAGTACTTGGGTGCATCATTTTGAAGATCATTAAACAGTTTAGTTAGGGCTGGCACTTCTCTGAAGGCCAAGTATCCTGGTATATACGGCTGAGTTAAGTGAATCATTTCCATTTTCTCATAAACCAACTGAAGAAAACAATACACATTTTATTAGTTTCAATGATAATAGAATATAAGGTAAGATGATAAGGTAAGATGATAAAGTCAATACAGAAATAATTTTCAGCATTGTCATGAGGGTAAAAAAGACTTCAATAAACCTCTTCTTATTCCATTTAATAATCATTTTGAAGAGGAATTTGGAATGTACTTTGCATGTTTATTTTTTAAAAAGATCCGCTTGACTTCTTATCTCCTCATGTGCTCCAAACGTATATAAACAGGTTTGACTATAGATACAATGACATTATACAATTATAAATACATCAGTATTCTATCAAGTAAATTAATTTTTTTAATCAGAATTAACTTTAAAATTAAGTTATTAGTGGATATTTCAAGTCGTGTAAATACGGAAAAGGTTTTAAAAAATCGCTGCCCTAAAGGAAGGCAAGAAAACAATAGTTTTAACCAGTCACTATTACAGGCATTTCATTCTTTGACTAGGACCATTAGAATTACATCAATTAAATGAACATGGGTAAGGATCTATTTTTTCTCCCCAAAAATTCTCACTTATTTTAAGTATTAATACTATAATAAAAAAAACAAAAAGAAATCCCAGAATGTTTAATAATCTTACATTATTATAATTTATTATATACCTCTAGATCAGGCATTCTCAACACACAGAGGCAGGCACAAGCATCAATGTTATTTCCTTTTATGAAAGAAATGTCGACTCCACCTACATAGTAATGGCTTCCATCTGGTTTACGTCTTTTACCTGATACTAGCTCTGATATTGCTCCTGTGTCTTCTAAAATCAACTGATTTTTATACTCATCTTGATCTCTGAAAAAAATAATCATTATGGTTTTGAAAATTCCAATAAAAATGTAATGAAGATAATAATCAGAAATAAAATATCTGCAATTCTTAGGTTTTGAGAAATAAAAATATATACATTAACATCTCAGGTAAAGTACTTCTTATTTGGGACCAGAAAATTGCTCTCGTTGATATTTTTAGAATTCGTATTTATAACACACACCCAATTTATACTATCCTGTTAGATAATAACATGTCACAGGCCCAACAGGTAGGTCTATATTATTAATAAGCCTTGTGCCTTAAGTAGTCATGCCATTTTTTACCTGATCTGTTAACTTTCTTTAATATAATCAAATCGCTGTCCAGATGTTAAAAGTTAATCATGGTGCTTTAAATAGAATCTTAAAAAATTGCTTATTTTATTTTATTATATATGATATATGTACCTAATCAGATTTTTGTATCATTAAGTCTTCAGCCATGTTTACCCCATTAATCTATAATATTTTTTGTTGTTTCTGGCTGACCACTCACTAGTGTGACCAACATCAAACATGATATATCACTTTAATTTTGAAAGCTATAAAGACTTCAACATTCTGATATGATGCAAAAAAACAAAAAAACAAACAAAAACCCAACTATTTTGACTAGTTTGGTTATTTCCAAGCAATCATATTGTTATGTCTTAGACTGCACTAGTGTAACATGGTTCTTCTGTTTACAAGTTATCCTTAATCTTATGGTGTGCCAAACTTTTCTTTGCATCCCAAGAAATGCAACAGAAACAATGTCATTTTTAAAGATAAGTTAAGCTTACATACTACTAATTAATACTAATAATAATATAGTTTATTTGAAAAACATGCTTCATCCCCAAAAGCTCGAAGCGCGGGACAAAGTCAACCATATTAAAAAGAGAAATAAAAAAAATCTAAAATTTACCACATTTAAAAACAGACGCAACAATATAAAGCTACATACGAGCATACCGAGTCAAAGTCTTTCATCCCGTTTCAACCATAAGCAACACAAGCCAATATACATTAACTGAAAAAGATAGTAAATAGCATCACCCCAGATGGTTTTTGCGAAATAGATGTGTTTTTAAATCGGTTTTAAAGGACTCCAGTGTCTGGCAACTAACCTTGTCCACTGCTGAAGGATGTCACATTCTTCAAGATTATTATTTTGTTCATGTTGCTCCATTTGAGACTGAATAATTCTGTTAATCTGTGTTTTTTCCAAAATAATGGTACATTATCCTGGACTGGATTGTGCAACAAATGCGGCATTACACAATAAATTTTCAGATTTTCAGATGAGTTGTCAAAAAGTTGTAACGTGTATTTCTGTTTTACATTCAACAGTGTGAAGAAGTTGGATTCTTTTCCTTTGATTTCAACAGTGCATAAAGAGTAGAAGTAACAGCTCTCTTTCCATTGCAATAAATACACTCACAGCAGTCACACTTTCGTGTAACAATAAAATTTCGGGCTCTTGGACAGTTCATCTTGATTCTTGAAAGTTGTAAAAACTAAAAACTTGCACACGATTTTCATGGCAGCTAAAAGCTTAGGCCTAATCATTTAAAAAATCCAAGTTCTTTGTGATGTCTGAATTATTATCATTGTAGTTTTTGTTGAAGGCTACTAATGAAATTCCTTTGATTTTAAGTGCAGCAGAGAAAATTTCAGTTCATTTGGAGTTGGACTGTAAAATGCTGTAAAAAATAATAATTTTATTAATTAATTTTAACAGTTATATAGTAATTTTAGTTTAATAACAAACAAATTATCATTAATGTTATTAAATTATATTTATATGGCCTAATTTTTTTTTTGCTGGCATCCATCCGTCACAATGTGACGATGGTGTGGGCTTTGGAGGACGAAATCCACAAGGCCTGGGATTATTCTTTAAGGATTATAAGCTGGTTCCCAACAGCAAATTGCCTCTCTCCACGCCGCTGGATAACCCAAGGGAACCAGTGGCGTCGCAGGAGTTTTCGGAATGTTTCATTTTACCAATGTTATCCACATTTCGGGACTCTATCTCCGGGCTTGATTTCAGGGTTTCCTTCTCTTAGATGAGTTGCCATCCAAGGTTAGCGAGTCCCAGCTACCCGGGGTGCTGGTGATATTTTTGCTTGACTGGGCTTTGGCTGGAATTGAACCCCAGACCTAATTAATGAATAGGAATTTATTATTGATTTCAGTAGCAATAATTACTCTCAATAATGTGCTGCCTTGATTTTTTTATCAAATATTTTACTAACTCCATTTATTACTGAAGTATGGTGACCATTCGTACTTTTTTTACCAGTACAGCACTGGTTTTTTAGGCATTTGTCCTGGTTAGTCATGAGTTGAAAACCAGTAGGTTGCAGGTAAAGTAAGGACTACAAAATAAAACATTCTTTATTTATAATAAGATTGAGTTGATCTGATCATAATAAATAACATAACTAAAAAAAAAATAATATAATTCATCAAAATTGGCATAATGATAATATTTTTTTCCAAAAGAAAGAAGGAGTTCTACGTTTAACAACAAATAATTGTTTATTTTTGGAAACCCAAGGCGACAAAACTATTTTAAATGTCCTGGTTTTAAATTTCTAATTTAAATGTACTGGTATTAGATTTGAAAAAATGGTCACCTCATTAGACTACAATGTATAAAACAATATTATATACCGTGTAATGCAAGTTTTGAATAGACCTTTATTTCATTTCACTGTGAGTACATTAGGTGCTAGCTAGTTAATTAAAATGAAATAAAATGCAACTTAACTTCATCAACTAAAAGCTAAGCTAACAGGGGATCTTAACAGGAATGCAGTGTCAGGGGGTGCGGGGAGAACCAGAAAAATCAGATTTATTTGTATTTTATTTGAATTTTTTATCATGAGGGAGGGAAGGTGGTTTGGAAAAATATGTTTTGAAATTAAGATGGGGTGCAAGAAAATATATTAAATTGTGACACCCCTAGCCTGTGAGGAAGCCGTGGATTCCTATGTTGTAGTATATCACAATTTGGGAACCTCTGGTCCTGGTTCTAAATGTTTCTGATTCAGATGTGGAGGTGGTAATTTAATAGGTAGGTGGCTTAGGCATATCCTTTGGATCTCTTTAACTTTAAAAGATTCTCAATGAAACTGAAAAGGTCAAAGTTAAGACAGTGTACAGTTAATTTCTATTCTGAACTACATCCTCACTCACTGGCCTATGCCTATTGATTTTATTTATATAACAGAAGCTGAATTAAATTAATAAAACTTGAAAATTATTAATATTAATAGAGCCAGTTTGGAAACATGAGTTAAGACCAAACATTAATTTTTAATTAATTTTATTTAAGGGGCGGGGGGGGGAGGAAGGCAGAGGTTTGTGACAAATATTTGAGGGAGTCTAACTTAACTTACTTTTCGGGTATGTGGGGGGTAAATAAATTAACAAATATTGCAAGGAGTTATAGATGGCCCAATTGTTAGGAGCTCTTAACCTTTTTGCAGCGTCATATTCTCTCTTGAGTAGGCTAAGGCCTAAGCCTAAGGCCAAGGCTAAATTAAGACATATTCCCCGCACTTAAAAAAAAAATCAAATAAAAATAAACCGGATTTTCTAGCCATCTAGGTCTTCCAGCATCCTTTGACTCCACTTTAGTACTGTATGATTAATTTTGTATTATTAATAATAAAGAACGGTACTTTACAATTATTGGGTTACCAATTATTGATCATTGATATATTTCAATTTCATGTTTGTCAACACGGAAATTAGGTTTCCCTATTTAACAATAATCGGAAAACTATCAAGAGTGTTACGCGTGTTAATGAATTCGAAGCTAAATAATAATCATTACGTGTCAAAATACAGGCTTCCTTCGTAATGAATAAGAGTAATGTAATGTAAAAAAAAAAAATTTCATTTACATTTGTTTAATGACATGGGTTGAAAATGCGCCCTCTCGCCCCCCCCCCCCCCCAGATCAGTGCCACCCGGGATGTTCCTCAAATAATTATATTTAGATGGAAATATTTATTTTGGCAAGGGAAATCACTCTAGTTAATCGCAGAAGAACACATTGTTAACTGTTCAGAACAGACGCAGGCACAAAAAAATATACTGAAATTAACGGAACTGACGTTATGGCCACTGAGGAAGAAAAACTAACTTCTGCTGTTCTCAGAGTGGAGAAAGCGGTAGTATTATGGATAATAAAAAAAATTCGCCTCATTAGTTATTATTTCGGAATTCCTAAAAAGGCTTTTCCCCTTATTAATACGTTTTATTAAAAGTACCATGCCTACCGGGGGTACCGCTTCACGTTCACTTGTTCACTGACTGTATTAGTATTAGTATTATTGCTAGATTATTTCATCATCATTGTCATTATTTATTATAATGTAGGCGTAGGCCTATATAGGGATTGCAGCTCAAAACATAAGATTTTTTCTCATCTGTTGGGGAAATTCAAGTTGAATGTTACCATACTCTACTTATTCATACAGTCAGTTAGTACATGCGGGGCACAAGCATTTGTAATTAGAGTTAAAGTTAAAGGTTGGCATTTATTAGTCATTGTGATTGTGTCATTAGAATTAGGCTGATTAGGGGGGTTAACCTACTTACTACTACCATTAGAATGTAATATTTATTATAATTAGTCCTAAAGCCTAAAGCAATTTATACCAAATTCAAACACAGCAGAGCAAGATCAAGAGTTTTTCTTCTTTTAATTGGGTGGCATAATTTTATAAATTTAAAGTTTAATTTATGTTAAAATAATATATTCAATAATTGCTCTCAAAGTATTCACTTCAAGCAATGTTTATTATTTCAAAATGGACACAATTCTGTTAGTATTGGAAGATTCATAAAAATAAAAGTAAAAGATTGAAATTTCAAAATTGAAATATCATTTTACAGGAGAAAGAAATGGAACGTCTGCAAGCTGAGCTTGCCGCTGTGTCAGATCCTGCTAAATTACTGAGTGAAGGATATGCATCTCCGGAACTGGAAAAACTGAGAGTGGAGAACCAAAAACTCAAATTCCAGAAGAATCATTTAAAAAGCGTAAGAAATCAAGATTTGTCTATTTTTTTAAAAATTTCACTTTGATAACATCCATAAAAGGAAGAATTTATTATTATTCTGTATGTTTCCATGTTCCCTCACAGAGTAAGGGCAGACATGATTAAGGCTGTTTTAAGAGATTGCATGTTCTGTCTAACCAAAAAAAACTCCATTTTTTATACTGTTCAAACATCATACCAGACTTTTTACAAATGCCCGGGAAAATGTGTTATCCTTTTTTCCCCCGCAGTACTTGGCAGAAGAAGAAAAACGTGTGCGTGATTATGCTTTAGATATACGTGGCATTGTTGAGGATGTCTTCAAATATGCAATCAGTGCTGCCTTCCCTGAGCTTGCAGACCCAACTATTCTTGTGGTGCCCAGCACTAAGTTTGATGACTACCAGTGTAACAGTGCCATGCCTATTGCACAGGTTTGTTATAATGTTGTACATAAAGTTTTCTGGAATACATTATTTAAAAGAATTTATTTTAAATACAGTCAATATACTCTCACTAAATTTTACAAACCTATTTTCACTTTGATGTATACATTTTTATATTGGTGTATTTTTTTGTATCTTGTTAACGAAATGATGTATTCTTTTTTTAAATAAAAATATTGGTTACTTCATTTCAGCAACTTGGAGCTCTGAGTGGTAAAAAAGTGAACCCAAGAGATGTAGCACAGGCCATTGTTGCCAAGCTGCCAGAAACAAAATTCTTTGAAAAGGTAATAAGGGCCATTTATATATTACTTAATAATAATAATAATAATAAGTGGTCTTATATAGCGCGGTACCCCGGTCTAGGGCTGGGCTCACCGCGCTGTACATATATAGCAAAGAGGCATAATCATAATATTAAAATAAAATACATAAATGAAATAAAAACAACATATAAGCAAAACAACACCATAGGTATATTCATCCACCCACACCAGACATTTTTACAAGGAAACCCATGTACGTTTATCGGTTTATAGGAGGAGAATCAGTCAGAGTAGTATAGTTTAAATAGATGTGTTTTGAGTGCAGTTTTGAAGGCCTGTGTGGTTGTTATATTGCGGATGTGTAGTGGCAAAGAATTCCATTGTTTGGGGGCGCAGAAAGAGAAAGATCGTTCACCATATAATTTAGTGCGTGTCTTGGGAACGGACAGAATACGCGAGTCTGCGGAGGAGCGAAGTTGTCGAAGGGGTGAATAGACAGAAAGAAGTTCAGTTAGATAGGAAGGGCAGGAATCCGAGAAAAAGTTGTGACAGAGAAGAGACAGCTTGTAGTCAATGCGTGCCTGTATAGGGAGCCAATGTAGTGAGTGGAGTAGTGGAGTGACGTGATCGCGTTTTTTTGCCTTAAGAACAAGCCTAGCAGCAGAGTTTTGAACTTTCTGCAGTTTTTCTATAAAATGTTTCGGTGAACCTGACAGAAGTGAGTTGCAATAGTCAAGACGAGAGAGAACAAGAGCACAGACTAGAGTTTTTGTTGCGCTAACTGTCAGGTAGTGGCGGATGGAGCTGATCTGACGGATGGCGGTGTATGCCGAACGACAAATGTGAGAGATATGTTTATCGAGAGACATGTTGTTAGAAAGAATATAACCAAGATTCCTAGCAGAGGGTGTAAACTGTATGTCGGAGTTACCTACTTGAAATGAGGTGGGAAGAGTTGAGGTAGAGGATGATTTGTGATTGTAAATGAGGAGTGCTTCTGTTTTGTCATCATTAAGCTTCAACTTGCTGAGTGTCATCCAAGACTTGACATCATCAATGCACCCCCGCAAAGTCTGGACAGCGGAATCGACAAGAGATGGATGGGTATGCATGTATAGCTGTGTATCATCTGCAAATGACTGGTTCTCAACAGCATGCCTCCCGAGCAAGAGGAGTAGTGGTCTGGTATACATTATGAATAGAACCGGACCCAAAACGGACCCCTGTGGCACTCCGTACACCAAATCAGCACTGCCGGAGAGACAGCCATCGACAGAGACCATTTGCGTTCTATCAGAGAGGTAGGACCTAAACCAAGCCAAAACCGAACCAGAAATTCCAAAGTAGTTTTCAAGGGTTTTGAAAAGGATTTCATGGTCAACAGTGTCAAAGGCCGCACTGAGGTCTAAGAGGATCAAAATGGAGACATTACCGCTGTCCATTGCGCGCAAGAGGTCATTACTGACTCTCAAGAGAGCTGTCTCCGTGCTATGGAAATGTCTATAGGCCGACTGATTAGAACTGAGAAGAGAGTGATCATTTAAGTAAGCAAAAAGTTGTTTTAGGACTAGTTTTTCAATAACTTTAGATAAAAATGATAAGTTAGATACAGGTCTATAGTTTTTTAAATTATTTTCATCCAGACCGGGCTTCTTAAGCAATGGTTTGATGACAGCTGATTTGCAAAGAGGCGGAACAGTGCCAGAATATAAGCTTTCATTTATTATGCGGGTTATTGTTGGGAGCAAGATATCTAATGACTCAACCAACAGGGGGGTTGGGATGGGATCCAAATAACATGACGTATGTTTAGATTTTAGGATTATATTTTTTACCTCAAGTTCTGAAACAGGTTTAAAAATATTAAAATGGGAAGTAAGACAAGGGAAAGGAGGCAATTCAAGGGGAGGGGCATCAAGACGATCAAGCTCAGCTCGAATGTCAGCTACTTTGCTTGTAAAGAAATTACAGAAAATATCTGGTTGCTTGGGCAGGGGAAACACCGAAGGAAGCGCAGTTCCTTTGTTACTCCCCCTAAGGTGACCACAAACATCAAACAACTGCCTGCTGGTTTTACCCATAGTTATCTTTTGGCTAAAATACGTAGTCTTTGCACGACAAACAATCTGATTGACACGCTTCTTGGCAGCGTAAAATATCTGCTTAAAAACCACAAGACCTGACCTTAACCACTTCTTTTCTGCACTACGGCGCTCTTTCTTGGCACTGCGTAGTTCCTCCTTGATGGTCGCATACCAGGGAGATGACCGCTTTAGACTAAAATTGCGGCGGGTGACAGGGGCGTGTCGGTCAAGCACAGCGCGCAATGCACGGTCTAGTGATTCCAATGTGGGGCAGAGGGCAGGGGACACTTCTACGCTTAGGTCATGCTTAAATGCATCCCTGTTTATAGCTCGCAGACTGCGCACCTCCCTAAACTGAGGGGGAGGGTTGGGGGCACTAACACTAAGTTCACAAATAACACAGAAGTGGTCAGAGGACAGCTCTTGTGTGATTGAAGTAGATCTAACTACACCATCTTGAGGCCTATGTAGTACCCAGTCAAGAATATGTCCACGATTATGAGTCGGTTGGTCGACCGATTGGTGAAGACTGAATAAATCCAAGAGATCCAACATCCTAGCAGTGGAGGGGTGCTGTGGTTGATCAAAATGGAAGTTCATGTCGCCTAGTACAATGTAAGTCCCGGTCAATGTGTTGCAGTGGTCAATCAAATCCGGGAATTCTCGATGAAACACTGAGTCGGTCAATTTATTTTTCTTACTAGGGAAGGTGCGATATATGCACATGAAATGAACTGTCTGCTGGGGCACTGACAGTGTAAATTGAACTACCTCAAAAGACGTGTGGACGAATGGGAGGTCTGTGACAAAAGCTGTATGATGGGACAACGTGTCTCTATATATAATAGCAAGGCCTCCGCCGCGAGTTGAACGGGGAAATGATCTGGCAGAATAGCCATAGGGAGCGAGATCGGTGCACTTCCCCTCATCGCCAGTCAGCCGAAACCAGGTCTCCTGGATAAACAGAATGTCAATCTGCCTATCAGAGACAAATTCGGAGACTGCAATTCGTTTCTCATAGGGGCCAAGCGACTGGGCGTTGAATGTGGCAATGAGAAGTTGTTTGTTGATAGAACGTGGAGAGGTTTTGATGTGAATGAGGTTGGCAGGGTCCGAGTAGTGTAGAGTAGGTCTTGGTAAAGAATGAGTGACAAGTTGTTGTTGTTTTCGTCTACCACCACGGTGGGTGCGCTTCCGAGGCAGGCCTCGACCAATCAAAAGCTCTTTCAGTCGACACACGAGGTCAGCGGTCAGATGCGTACGCTTGGCATTCATTGACAAAAGACGATCACGTGTGTATGCAAGCACAGGTCGGTTACCGCCGTGGGGGCTGCGTGTGTCACTGACCGTAACGTCGACTTGACCGAGCGATGAGCGTGGTGCCGACAAAGATGGCCGACCGTGTAGGCGGTGAATCTCACTAACCTTTGCAACAAAGAAAATCCAAAACAACAAAAGTCCAAAGTTAGGAGGGACACAAAACATATCCGAATCAAAGTAGTGGTCCATGGTGGATATCCAGTACAGAAAAACAATACAAAAATCAGTCAAACACACATAAAATTGCATTCAATCAGGAGCCCGAGTCTATACGTGCCTGCAAGGCGTAGCCTCGTTCTCGTTCTACTTACACAAATCCAAGTCATTTTTTTCATACAATCCCATTTTTTGGCTCCCCTCCCCTATGCATATGTTCATATGAGCTTCTTACACTACCCCCAATACAATCTTTAATTATACTCTATAAATTATAATGTATAAAGCAAATAAAGAATGTGATGATAAATGAAGGACTGCCTTCAAGCTGTGTGAAGGAATGTGAATTGGGCTAAAAATTGTTGCATTTTTTTTTTCATTTTTCATAATCGTTTCTGGGTGTTTAATCTTTGGCTCAAGCGAAAGAAATAATTATGTCACACCCATAGAAACATACAAAGACATAAAGGGAATTAAAGTTTTCACTAGGCTAAATATCTCCATTAGGATATCTAGTGAGATCGATTGTGAAAACAGAAAGAACTGAAATTTTTACGAAACATTGCAGATATATTTTTATAGCCTTTGAATTATAATTAGAGATTTCCAAGATTTTTAGGTGACAGACAGCCATATTAGAGGTATAAAGATGTTTTTTATGGATTGTCAGAAAATCGGAATAATTATTGCAGAATTTGTACTTAAATTCAAGTATTTGCAATGTTTGGTATTAAATTTGATGTAGTTCATGTAATGAAAATGACAAACATTTTTTGTTATAAGTCTTTCGTTATTCAGTTAACATACTGGAATTAACATATTTTATTTGATTAAAAACAGGCTCTGTAAATGTATTTATTATACCTGCTGAAATAAATCTAAGCCCCTCTATTTCTAGGATAACTCTCAAAAGCTTCCATGGACTAAAATAAAGAAATTCTGGTTTAGATTTAAATGTCATTGACTGTGATACTTCAGCAATTAGGGTAAAAAATTCATGTTTAGAATTCATGACGTTAACAGAAAAAGCCAGTTGTATTCAAAACAATTTTTTAATTTTAACTTACAGGTTGACATTGCTGGACCTGGCTTCATCAATGTGGCATTAAGGAAAGAGTTTGTGTCCAAAGAGCTGACCTTTCTCTTAACTCATGGGGTAAAACCACCTAAGATTGAGAGGAAGAGAGTTGTCATCGACTATTCATCACCTAATATTGCCAAGGAAATGCATGTTGGTCACTTGAGGTTGGATATTTCATTTCGTTTAAAAATTTTATTTTTATATTATATTCAAAACTTAAAAAAAACAAAAAACCTTCTTTGCAATGTTCTTAATATCATTACGAGGGACAGAGATCTGACTTTCCAATCCTTGATTGAATTCCAATTTTTTTTTTAGACTTCAGTGCGGTCTCTGATACCGTTGACCATCAGACCCTTTACAAAACACTTGAAAATTACTTTGGAATTTCTGCTTCAGTTTTGGCTTGGTTTCGGTCCTACCTCTCCGAAAGAAGGCAGGTGGTCGCTGTTGATGGCTGTCTCTCCGGCAGTGCTGACTTGGGGTACGGAGTGCCACAGGGGTCCATTTTGGGTCATGTCCTATTCACAATGTATACCTGGCCACTTCTCCTCCTGCTCGGGTGTTGAGAACCAGTCATTCGCAGATGACATGTACCTATACAAGCATGCCCATTCCTCTCTTGTCCATTCTGCTTTCCCCACCTTGCAGGAGTGCATTGGTGATATCAAGTCATTGATGACTCTCAGCAAGTTGAAGCTAAGCGATGACAAAACGGAAGCACTCCTCATTCACAATCATGAATCATCCTCTAACTCAGCTCTCCCCATCTCGTTTCATGTAAGTTGCTCCGATATAGAGTTCTTCTAGGAATCTTGGTTACATTCTTTCTGACAACATGTCTCTCCATAATCATGTTCCTCACATCTGTCGCTCTGCGTACACCACTATCCGCCAGATCAGCTCCATCTACCACTACCTCCCAGTCAAAGCAACAAAAACACTAGTCTGTGCTCTTGTTCTCTCTCTTCTTGACTATTGTAACTCACTTCTGTCAGGTTCACCAAAACATTTCATAGATAAACCGCAGAAAGTTCAAAACTCAACTGCTAGGTTGGTTCTAAAGACAAAGAAATATGATCATGTCACTCCACTACTTCACTCACTTCATTGGCTCCCCATACAGGCACGCATTGATTACAAGCTGTCTGTTCTCTGTCACAACTTTTTCTCTGGTACCTCCCCTTCCTATCTTACTGAACTTATTACTGTCTATTTAGCCCTTCGAAAGCTTAGTTCCTCCGCAGACACGTGTATTCTTTCTGTTCCTAGAACACACACTAAAACTTTGGTGAACAGTCTTTCTCTTTCTGCGCCCCCAAACAATGGAATTCTCTCCCACTACACATTCGCAATATACTGACCAAACAGGCCTTCAAAACTGCACTCAAAACACATCTCTTTAAACTCTTAATATCCTGACTGATACCCCCCAATGGCCGATAAATGATGCTGTTGGCTGTCGTCCAGGGCTTAAGATGTAAAAGTTCTGGGGTGGGTGGGGTGAATATGTTTTTTGTTTTGTTGTTATACAGCTGTTTTTTTTTTTTATTAAATAAATGTATGCGATTTTTTTAAAATGTTATGATCATGTTTGCTAATATTTTATGTACAGCGCAGTGAGCCCAGTCCTTGGCTGCTTTACCGCACTTTATGGAAGGACTAATAATAATAATAATAAAGTTGACATTTTCCTACCTCCCAACTTATTATTTTTGGAACCAAGCTTCAACGGAAATATTTCTTTGCCTAACTTCCTTTTAGAGAACTTATGTTAAAGAGATGGTTTTAAAATTTGGAAATGTATTTTTTGGTGATGCTGTATATATAAGAATTATTGGGTAGCATCATTGACAGTCAATAAGTCTAAACTCTGGAATATAAACTTTGGACACAGAATTAGGATGTCTGGGTTAAAAAAATGTGAGTATGCTGCCCTTATGTTGCTATAGGCAACTATAGTAGTATCGTGGGCTACAATTCTCATTCACAGCTTTGAATGACATATTTCCCTAAACTTGATGAAACAGATTATGACTAAAATGAAGCAAGCGTAAAAGTTTACATTAGAGTTTCAGATAAAATTGAAAAAAATATATGACATGGTTTTATAACCTATTATTAAAACACTGTTAATATGATTTTTCTATAAGGAAAATACAATGATCTGTCTTTGAAAAAAATCTGTTTCTTAAACAAATATTTTGTCATTGAAAGTTATGTCCCAACTCTGAAAGGCTTGTCATGCATTTGGTCTAATATAGAAGGCTGTTGGTTACAAAAAAATTGAGATGCTAAATGCTGCAGTACTTTTCTACAGGTCAACCATTATCGGTGAGAGTTTGAGCCGGCTCTTGGAATGGGTAGGCCATGACGTGCTGCGACTCAATCACTTGGGAGACTGGGGCACTCAGTTCGGCATGCTCATTGCCTACCTGATTGAGAAGTACCCTAACTTGCTGAAGGAGAAACCACCCATTGAAGACTTGCAGGCATTTTATCAGGTAGAGAAAGTTTCTGTAAAGTTGTCTGCTTCAAATCTGGCTCAATGCTCTACATAAAAATAAACAGTGCAAGTAGCTTTTGAAACTTGATGCTGCTCATCAATGAAGTAGGTTTAATTAAATTATCACCATCGTGCTAGAGGGTTTTAAATGGTTAGAAAGGTGACAAGGTGGAAAAATCAGACCAGTGGTCCACCATTTCCTTTATAGACTACATATCTACACAAGCTAAGAGTGTTTGCCTCTGCCTTTAATGGGTTTTGCTGTCAAATGCTTTTTTGGCCGGAGCGTTCACTTTCTGTTATTGTCCTTCTTCAGGTTTTCTTATGGTATCCAACAGGGTTTCCACAATGATCTTCTACAGGTGCTTGAAATGCATCATGAATTTAGAATTTTAGAACAAAGATACTAAATTTTAACCTTCCAAATTTCTTCACTAAATTACTTTTGTTCATGGTTTGAACGAATCTTAAGTTTGTAGTTCATAGTGCCTGTTGAACAATTCTAGTTGAAACACAGAATCTTTTATACTCTGTCTTGAGGGCGACTTGGCTCTGTTTTGTTTAAACTGATTGTAAGCTTTAGTGTGGTGAAACCAGTCTTTATGGATAATTTGTACAAGTTTGTTAGTGGCTTACTAAGTTGTTTTGTTTATTTCCATCAGGAGTCAAAGGTCAGATTTGATAGTGATGAAGATTTCAAGCGCCGTGCCTATGATTATGTTGTGAAACTTCAGTCCAAGGACCCTTTCACCTACCAGGCCTGGAGAATCATTTATGACATCTCAATGGAAGGTATGTTCTAAGAAATGTGTTCATGTCCTGTACCAAGCTCTCATCTTGTCTCCTGTACTAAGCTCTCATCTTGTGTCCTGTACTAAGCTCTCATCTTGTGTCCTGCATTTAGCTATCATCTTGTGTCCTGTATTAAGCTCTCATCTTGTGTCCTTTGACAAATGAAATTCCTTTATTTATGCAAAAAACTGGAAATGTCTTTTGATTACATTATACATATTAACTCTCATCATAACAAATAAAAAAAAAAAAAAACATAGTTAATATAAATATATCTGTCTTGTAGCTATCATATATGGCATCCTTCCATCTTCGCAAGACGATGGAGTAGCTATATAGCTCTACACTTTGACGAGTGGCTCACTAGGCCAATCCTAGAATGGCAATCACGGCTGCATCTCTCGCAGGAGAATATTGAATCCCGGTAAATTCTTGATTTCCAAATTGTTCTTTTTGATTCAAGTGCATCGTTTCGAGTATCTTCTGCCTTTTTTACTCCTTCAAACACTGCTGTTCGCCAGTTGGAGCGATGTTCGGCAATGAACTCCCATTCGTTTGTTTCAATATTGGCTTCCCTCATGCTTCTTTTGCAAACGTCAATAAATCTCAGGCGCGGTCGTCCAATATGTCTTGTCCCTTCTGCCAACTCTCCATACAGCAGTATCTTTGGGATACGTTCTTCCTCCATTCTCTGTACATGACTTAACCAGTGAAGGCGCCTCTTGATAAGAAACGAGAATATGCTAAACATGTGTGCACGTTCCAAAACCTCCACGTTAGGCACTCTGTCCTGCCAGCGAATGCGCAATATGCGACGCAGACATCTTTGATGGAAGCTGTTGAGTTTCAAATACAATGCGGGAAGCTAGGGTAAGAATACGGGAGTAAACCCAAACTGTAAAATCCGGAGATAGAGTCCCGAAGTCGATCTGACGCCGATAACAATGTCATCAGCTATCATATAACCACACTAAAGATGCCTACCGGTATTTGGAATGTAGGCTGTAGAGCTGGGAATGCTGTTAACATTTTTTACATTGACTTAGATTTTTATTTTAAATGGCTGTTGTCTCATTTCTTTCAGTCAATAATGCACTCTACCGTCGGCTTGGAGTTTCTGACAAACTTGTGGAGAGGGGAGAGTCCTTTTACCAAGACAGGATGGTCAAACTGGTCAAAGACTTGGAAAATGCAGGTTTGTTTTAACTTGGGGATCTTATATCTTCTTTCTGCTTCATCCTGATTATTGGCTTACAGAGATTAAAAAAATAATTCCAGTTTTATGATTAATGAATGTGAATTTTAGTGTTAAATATGTTTTAATAATGGCTAAGAAATAAGCAACAAAAGGAATATGTTTTTTAGCCTTAAGTGATATTAAAAATGTAAAAGATGTAAGCTCTGCTTGTTGTACTCCCCAATGGTCTGCCTGCTGTGCTTGCTTCACTCAATCAGTACTGACCCCATTGGTCTGCAAGTCATCAACAACTTTGTAATTTGTAAAATACCATTTAGTAGATATAGCTAAAAATGATTTTTGCACTTAGCACACAACTATATTGAACTTATTTTACACAACTGTACCAAATGGGTCTTATAATTTTCATATGTAAGCCAATCTTTTTATTTCTGTGTTTTTCTCTGCCCTGTGCATATTTCTTATTTATTTAGGTTTTTAGGTTTTTCTCTACCCTTTGTATATTTCTTATTTATTTAGGTTTTTCTCTACCCTTTGTATATTTCTTATTTATTTAGGTTTCTCTCTACCCTTTGTATATTTCTTATTTATTTAGGTTTTTAGGTTTTTCTCTACCCTTTGTATATTTCTTATTTATTTAGGTTTTTAGGTTTTTCTCTACCCTTTGTATATTTCTTATTTATTTAGGTTTCTCTCTACCCTTTGTATATTTCTTATTTATTTAGGTTTTTAGGTTTTTCTCTACCCTTTGTATATTTCTTATTTATTTAGGTTTTTAGGTTTTTCTCTACCCTTTGTATATTTCTTATTTATTTAGGTTTTTCTCTGCGCTGTGTATATTTCTTATTTATGTAGGTTTTTCTCTGCCCTGTGTATATGTGTTATTAATTTAGGTTTTTCTCTGCCCTGTGTATATTTCTTATTTATTTAGGTTTTTCTCTGCCCTGTGTATTTTTCTTATTTATGCAGGCTAGACTTTATATTTTCCATTTCTCATTGCTCAGAGGTTTTTCCTAGGTTTCAAATAGGACCATATTTAATTTCAGGAGAAATCGAGGTGGATGAGAATGGCCGTAAAGTTATGTTTGTCCCTGGCTTTGATGTCCCTCTCATGGTCGTCAAGTCTGATGGTGGATTCACATATGACACGTCAGACCTTGCCTGCATCAAGCAGAGATTGTTTGAGGAGAATGGAGACTGGTTGGTGTATGTAGTTGACTCTGGACAGGTGGGTTACGCAGCATTTCACCAGCAATACTCTCAAAGTTATTGAGTAGTATAACCCACTGCAATACAATTAAATTAATTTTCCCATTAATTATTTCTATTCAATAAGTAAATGTGATATTGAACAAAGTTATTTATGTACTTCTTTTAAAGAACACATTATTTTAAAAAAATGGTATTTTTATTTAAAACAAAGTTATTCACATTGTTGTCTTAGTTACACATTCAAAAAAAAAAAATCAATAAATATCGTATTTGTATTTAAAGCAAAAATTTTTATGGAGTTGTCTTAATTAAACATTATTTTAAAATATCTATAACTATTGTATTTGCAATTAAAGCCATTTTTATGAAATACAGAAATTATTTCCTTATTTTGACTCTTAGTTCAGGGTATAGATAATGTAGAAAAGTATTCACTTTATAAGTCAGACTAGTCAGCTGGCTTTTCCCCATAGTCCCTTCAATACATCACTTTATAAGTCACACTAGTCAGCTGGCTTTTCCCCATAGTCCCTTCAATACATCACTTTATAAGTCAGACTAGTCAGCTGGCTTTTCCCATAGTCCCTTCAATACATCACTTTATAAGTCAGACTAGTCAGCTGGCTTTTCCCCATAGTCCCTTCAGTACATCACTTTATAAGTCAGACTAGTCAGCTGGCTTTTCCCCATAGTCCCTTCAATACATCACTTTATAAGTCAGACTAGTCAGCTGGCTTTTCCCCATAGTCACTTCAATACATCACTTTATAAGTCAGACTAGTCAGCTGGCTTTTCCCCATAGTCCCTTCAGTACATCAAGATAAAGATTACCAAGTCACACTAGTCAGCTGGCTTTTCCCCATAGTCACTTCAATACATCAAGATAAAGATTACCAAGTCACACTAGTCAGCTGGCTTTTCCCCATAGTCCCTTCAATACATCAAGATAAAGATTACCAAGTCACACTAGTCAGCTGGCTTTTCCCCATAGTCACTTCAATACATCAAAATAAAGATTACCAAGTGATGCATGGGGGCAGTGGCGTAGCGAGGGTGTTTGGCGCCCGGGGACAAGATTCACGCCCGGGGACAAGATCCATTTTTAGCGTCCCTTTTTCTTTTTTTCAACTCTCAAACCCATTATTTTCATCAATAAAATAATATCAAAGCACATTTTGGCGCCCCTAACTAGCTGGCGCCCGGGGACATCTGTCCCCCCCCTGCCCCCACCACGCTACGCCTCTGCATGGGGTAATGGTGTGTCCACAAGGGGAAATAATTCTTAATTTATTTAAATGAGTAGCACAGCATACACATTTTGATTTCTGAACATGACAAAGTGATTGCAAGCAGTGGTGTTTTTGCCAAAATACTCATGTTAATTTCTTGGTCCAAGTAACAACCGCCCCCCCCCCGCCCCCACTTTTTTTTTCTTCTTCTCTTCTTTTTTGAAGTTTTGTTCTTAAAAGTTATATGGAACATTTATGACACCTTATATAGTAAAAAAATAAAACCCATAGCAAAAAAAAATTTTGTATGAAAATTAACGGTCCGAGTCATTTTGACGGTCTCAGTCATTTTGACGGTCTCAGTCATTTTGACGGTCTCAGTCATTTTGATGGTTGTTTTATGAACGCTTTGTTGTTGTTGTGTCTTTTCAACATTAAGCATTATTTATCATAGATTTAATGTGACCCTTTGTTTATCTTGCTCAGAGTAATCATCTTGAAACTATTTTTGCCGCTGCACGAAAGTTGGGCTGGGTGGACAAGTTGAAGCATCGCATCGACCATGTAGGATTTGGGCTGGTGCTCGGGGAAGACAAGTAAGTGCTTAGCATATTGATCTCACAAGTACACACAAACAACGACAAAGTACATGTTAATGTTACTGATAAAAAAACTCATGTCCAAGAATCTTCCCTTTCACTTTTAAAACTAGTTGAACTTTTTAGTCAAAGGGCTTTGGTAAATTCTTAATTTAAATGATACATAGCTACATAAAGATGCTCTAAAGGAAACTTGAGTACATCACTAAATTTCTCTTCCACTGTTTAAGTTTTGTGAGCTCATGCCTGCAGCTTAGAGGAAACATTGCTTTTAAAGTAGGACAATTTATTTTCTAACCTTAAGGATCTGGAACATTTATAGTCCAGGTCTCCTCATCTCCCGTTATTTCAGCAGACGTGTAGTTTTGTCCCCTGAGTGTATTCAAAGCAGTAAATCGTAACTCTTTCATTCAGACCATCCAATCTTTCACTCAGAACTCAGACCATCCAATCTTTCACTCAGACCATCCAATCTTTCACTCAGAACATCCAATCTTTCACTCAGAACATCCAATCTTTCACTCAGACCATCCAATCTTTCACTCAGACCATCCAATCTTTCACTCAGAACATCTAATCTTTCACTCAGAACATCCAATCTTTCACTCAGACCATCCAATCTTTCACTCAGAACATCCAATCTTTCACTCAGAACATCCAATCTTTCACCCAGAACATCCAATCTTTCACTCAGAACATCCAATCTTTCACTCAGAACATCCAATCTT